TTGTCAACTCTACTATACACCTGGGAATTCTGATCATTTACATAAACTTATAGGACCATTGTCTGCCAACCCTATATACGTTCTTGGATACACTCCCCATTTCATAGACACACCTAATAGTTCAGCCTGTCCACCCATCTATCCACCCATATACCCACGTTTGCCTTCACTGACTATGCAGTACTGTATGTGCAAAAGGATTCATATTTGTTGTCTGTATCTGCCATGTACCTCTCTATGTTTTTCTCATCCTCAATGCTGCCATATTGGTCACTGACCTTTGGTACATTGCCCTTCTCTTCACCCAAATCAAGACTTATCTCTATCTATCTAACTATGTTCCCTCCCCTCCCCTCCCACCCCTGGGAACCAACAAAGAAAATTTCCTTCTATAGATAAGCCTTTCCTTAACTTTTACAATAACGGACTCATACAATATTTGTCCTTTTGTGATTGACTTATTTCACTCAGCATAACGTCCTCCAAGTTCATCCACATTATGTGGTGTTTTGCAGATTCTACATTATTCTTTGGTGTTGCATAGTATCCATTGTGTGTATGTACCACAGTTTGGTTACCCATTCCTCAGTTGATGGACACCAAACTCCTGTTTCTTAAGGCCATCCCATTTGTGGTATGTTTCTGTTAGAGCAGCCCTAGGTAACCAGAACAGATGTATACAGATTTTTCTTCTAATTTTGAGACATACCAAATCAGCAAATGAATGTCCTGAAAACTTTACTCCATCCACATTGTTAAGGACGATGCTACTTTGAGGAGGCAGCTCTTCCCTAGTCATTTTTTGAGTGCCTTTCCAACCTGAACGGCTCACCTTCCTGCACTGATCAGGTAATATTCTGCTGCTATTCATAAGGTTTTCACTAGCCAATTTTTTAAGAAGTAAATTGTCAGGTCCTTCTTCCTTTCTTGTCTCAGTCTGGAAACTCCACTGAAAGCTGATCAGCATGGATGACCCTGATGGTATTTTAAATACCAATGGCATAGTTTCCACCAACACACAAACACAGCAGCCACAACAGTCCAACAAACTGATAGACAAGTGGTGGTTCTTATAGTAGATGCTTAATAAATATTTTGTTACTGGTTAAAATTAACTTAAAGGCATCATTTATTTCTTCAAATATCTGTCTAGTAAGTTGAAATGCACCAGCCACTCCATGGGAGGAAACACCTAGTGATATGCTCCCATGAAGAGCTAGGTAACCCCATGGGGCAGTTCCTCATAGGGTTACTATGAGTCAGAATCAATGGCATGGTGGCACACAACAACAACAAGGGCACTGTGCTAGGTGCTGGATATGAAAGATAGCTGGAATCCCATTGAGACTGAAATCAAGGTCAGCACCTAAAAGTTTTGCTTTGTTTTTTTAAGGTTTATTTTGTTTTTCTTGCTGTAGATCTCTTCAAAAGCTGAAAAATGATCAATGAAAACTAAACCCACTGCCATCAAGTCAAGTTTGACTAATAAGGACCCTATAGAACAGAGTAGAACTTCCCCATAGGGTTTTGAAGATTGTAATCTTTACGGAAGCTGACTTTCTTCCACAGAGCAGCTAGTGGGTTCGAACTAATCAGCTTTCAGTTTGTAGCTCTGAGCACTTAATCACTGCATCAGCAAGGCTTCACATTAAGTTGTTCACATTTGTTGTTGTTGTTGCCAGTTGCTGTCAAGTCAGTTCTGACTCAGAGACATTATGTTCAACAGAAGAAAACACTGCCCAGTCCCACACCATCCTCACAATCACTGCTATCTTTGAGCGCACTGTTGCAGCCACTGTGACAGTGTCAGTCCGTCTGTCTCATTGAGATTCTTCCTCTTTTTCACTGATCCTCTACTTTTCCAAGTAGGATGTCTTTCTCTAGGGACTTGCCCCTCTTGATAATATGTCTAAAGTATGTGAGACTAAGTCTTCTTCTAAGAGTTATTAGGAGCATTATGGCTGTACTTCTTCCAAGACATATTTGCTCATTCTTCTGGCAGACCACGGTAAATTCAATATTCTTTGCAAACACCACAATTCAAAGGTATCAATTCTTCTTCAGTCTTCTTTATTCCTTATCCAGCTTTCACATGTATATGAGGGAACTGAAAATACCATGGCTTGGGTTAGGAACACTTTAGTCCTCAAAGTGACGTGTTTGCTTTTAAATACTTTCAAGAGATCTTTTGCTACAGATTTGCCCAATGCAATATATCATTTGATTTCTTCACATTGAGTGTTATTAATTCATCCAATGAGACTTTGAGAAAGCTATTTAACTGTCTTATGCCTCAGTTTACTATATGTTAAATGGGAATAATGACCTCATAAGGTTGTTATGAAGATTAATATAACTCACTTAAATATGCCTGACATATGGTAAGTGCTTAATAAATCTTATTTATGATTATTATTACTTACCCCAACAGCAGGGCTATAAGGAACTGCCACTTTCTTTGTTATTGCCAGATAGCCTGGAGCTGAAGCTGTAAGTTTATAGTTTCCAGGTACAAGCAATCTCCAGTAATCACCATCCTTGGCTATATATTAAAAGATCAAATAACAAGGCCTGTATGTGAAATGCATAATTACACCATCTAAGAAAAACCCACAATAATTCCTTGAATTCCTATTTTAAAAGTACATCTACTCCTCACTTATCCACTATCTCTTTATCGAACATTTCACATTTAGGACAATAGTAAAAGAATCTAGTCACTATTTTGAGCAATGATGACATACATCTGGCAGTAACGACCACTGAGGTGAGAGGTGAGAGATAACGTTATATGTCACCTTGTCTGGGCCATGATTCTCAGTGGTTTAAACTCATTGCCATTGAGTCAATTCCAACTCATAGCAAGCCCCGTTGGCTTTCGGAAGCAGACAAATCTTTACAGAAGTAGATTCCCTCATCTTCCTTCCACAGGGTGGAAGGGTTTGAAATGTCAGCTTTCTGATTAGCAGCCAAATCTCAACGGTTTAGTAGTTATGTAATGATATAGTCATCCTCCATTTTGTGATCTGATGTGGTCATTCTCCATTTTCACATAAGGCCAATTTTTGTATAACAAGCTGGTGTTTGGAACCTAACCATGTCAATAAGCAAGAGTAGGTATATATGTATATGGAAGGTGATGAAATATCATTGAAGAGAGGTGAAGCTCTTTCCACGGGGCTCCATTAACTGTTTGACAGATATTAACGTTAACCTGTCTAATAAATATTTTGTGATAGTAGATGTTCTAATCACATCAGGAGTAACAGACACGATAAGACATATAAGATGTCCAAGCAACAATGTCAGAACATCTGGGCACCATGCTTTAATTCTTTCCAGGTCAAGCTCTGATGATCTGAGGGTCTAGATAAGTAATTCACAGAGTCTAGCCCAAAGATAACCTCATCAGAATCCCTGGGGCACTTGTTAGAAATTAGAGTTCCAAAGATTTAGAATATATTGGTCTGGACTGCCTCTTAGAAACTGTATTTTCAAGAAGTTCTCTAGAGAATTCTTAAGCAAAGTAGAGGTACCTTTCACTTTTTTTCACCTTCCACATATCTATCATTTCCACCTAATGTAGCTGAGATTCTATGGTCCATCATTATAATCATTCTCACACATATGCCTTCAATTTATTTGCTCCTCTCCCCTTGTTGTACATGCCTGGCAATCAACAAAACCTGGAAAATTTCCAATTTTCTTTCTACTCTGTGCCTGCCCCCCTTTGGCTTCAAAGAGCTGGAGAAAGCACACACCCATGTTGATCTGTCTCCAATTCATAAACACCCCAATCCAGAGGCCATGGTGCTACCCTTCCTTCCTCCTACATTTCCCCAGCCCTTTTGCCCTCCCATTTTCTGTTATCAGTAGTACTTCTCAAACTTAGGTGCATAACAACTACCTGGGGACCTGGGTAAGATGTGGATTCTGATCCAAGAGCTCTGAAGAGAAGCCTGTGATTCTGCATTTCTAACCAGCTCCAGGGTGCTACCACAGCTGCTGCTAGAGGGCCATATTCTGAGTAGTCATTTCCTAGTGGAAAATTCACTCTTTGTCCTTTTTTCTAGTAACTCTAAAACATCCTCTTCATCTTCCCTCTCAGCTAATATTTTTGTTTTAACTGTGAAAATAGAAACATTCAGGAAAAATACAAGCCCTCACCACTATATCTTCCAATCTACCTCCAGACCTTATATCTGTCTTCAGCCAGTGCTTCGTTTATTTGCTTTATAACATCATTTCTGGAAAGATTTGTCAGTACTCTCTGACTCTAATATCTCTCCTCCTATTCTTTCTTGGTGACACTCCAATCAGATGTCCACCCCTCCTCTTGAACAGACTACCTTTTATCAAGTGTTTTTGGTTGGTTTGTTATTTTTACACTCTTCATTTGGCTTTCAGGACAATACTCTTAGCTTTGTTTCTACCTTAGACTCCATTGTTAGTTCTTCCTTATTACCCTGCCCTCAAAATGTTGGAGTTTCCAAAGTCTACTCCTCAGATTTCTTTTCCTTTCTATCTGTATTTATTCCCTCAGTTAGATTTTCCTAAACTTTTCACATCATAGGGGCAAGAAAATATTTGTATGGCACACTAATATTAACAGATAATGAAGGCTTCTTGTGACCAAGGTCTGTGCTCCATCCTCAGAAGCACCCTCCTTGAGGGCTAAGAGGAACAATAACTTAGCACAAATTCAGTATATTCATTGGGAAGGTCGGTTAGCATTTAGTGGACGGTTGATAAATATTTGTTGAATGAATGAATTAATGGAGTTTTAGAGGACAGACATTAAAGATAAAAAATATTCAAGCTGTAAATGTGGAGGTTAAGAAAGAGAGAAATAAGTTAAAGGTTATTGATTATAAGGTCTAAAAATATGTAAGAAGTTTATAGCTAAAAATACATTGTTGTTGCTGAAAAGATCCTGATAAGTGAGACTTAAATTAACATGAACTAGATATATGTTTATTAGCAAGAGTAGATTAATTGGCCAGGAAAATACATCATTATCTCCAAGCTGGAAAAATAGAAACAAAATTTTAAACCTAGAAATAACTAACAATCCTGTCTATCCTGTGCAATCTTGAATTAGACATTTAACCTCTCTGATCTTCAGTTTCTTCATGAATTAAAACAAAAAAAGTATTTATTAAATGGATTAAATGAAGAAATGTTCAAGAAATTCTAAACACACAATATGCACATCTTCTTTCCTATTCCTTTCAGATCCCTCCTGCTGTCCACCAACTCACAGCTCATTAGCACTTTTCCTAGAAAAAGACTCTAACTGTCACTGCCACTCATCCAACTCATAGCGACCCCTCCTTGGAAACCACTCACAGTAACCCCTCCTTGGAAACTACTTACAGAGATCCTTCATCAGAAGGCACTCATAGCCACCCCTCCTTGGGTTTCCTGGGCTATATATATATATCTAGGGAAATAGATTGCCCCGTCTTCCATCTGAAGAGTGGCTGGTGGGTTTGAACCACCAGCCTTCTAGTTAGCAGTCAAATGCTTTAGGCACTTGAGCTCCTAGAAAAGAATACTGGTAATTTAACTCTAGTTCATTTTCTTTTGCCTGAAGAATAACAAAGAATTTCAGGGTAAGGCAACATCTCACAGTTCTGGAGTGAGATTGCTGAGGAAAGGGCGCCATCTGCTGTATCCCAATTTCCAAATGCAACAGCAATCCTGAGAAACTCCACTTGATCTGCTCCCACAAATAAAACTTAACTAGATCAAAGGTGGGAGAGAGACGTGTAAACAGATATGATGCATTTAATGGCTTTTCTTATAACATTGTACTAGTTATAATTGTTGTTGTTGTTGTTGTTGTTGTTGTTATTTGCCGTCGAGTCGACCCCGACTCATAGCGACCCCTCCTTGGGTTTCCGAGGCAGTTACACTACAGAAGTAGATTGCCCAACCTTCCTTCCAAGGAGTGGCTGGTGGGTTTGAACCGCCAGCCTCCTGGTTAGCAGTCAAGTGCCTTAGGCACTATGCTACCAGAGCTCCTATAATTATGATAATAAATAATTATGTTCTTGTGTGTTAACGTTAGAACCTTCAGACCATGGCAAGGAACACCCACCAGATGTAATATCATGGTCTATTCCTTCCACGGAGATGGTTGCATTGGCAATTGGATTACCCTGAAGGTCTCGAACAAATCCTTTAACTCCTCGGTGTATCTGCGAAGGTGAAGAAAAACAAAACATTCATATTAGAAGTGACCTAAAATGTTTCATATCAAGGATCTTCTTATTTTCTAGCAATATACTGTAGATTTCCACTGTTTAAAAATCATAATATAATGAAAAAGTGACTGAATGATTTGTGTATACCTTGCTTTTTCTCAACAATGGACAAATAACAAGTAACTCCCTGGGAATTGATATCTTATTCTGAGACAGAAAGAATTTAAAGTACTTTTCAAACCCCCCCCCAAAAAAAAAAAAAAATCCTGTCTGTCATATTTATAGTTTTAGTTTTCAATACATTTCATTGCTTTCTTTTTTTAAAATTTGGTCACCTATGTACACCTTATGTGATCACTGTCATTTAACAAGAATATGACATTACAGCCTTTTAAAACTGTTCATCCTGAATAAAAGAGTATAACCTCTGACTACTTCTGCACTTAAACCCACTGACAATATTATTTTGACTGAAAATAAGTGGCATGAAAGATCAGCAAACGCACAACTGAAAACTGGATATTGATTTAGAGAGAGAATGGAGGTGTTGCTATTGAGAATAATCTCTTTGAATTAAGTTGTGGTCATTGAAAAGTACTGCAATGCAACCTAAGGGAAAAAAAGGTCTTTTCCTTTATTTTGAAACTATAATGCAAGTATATTAACATGTGCTTGAAATGACAGTCATATTTCAATCTGACCTGGCTCAGATTAAGATGTTCAGTTCTGCTTCTAGAGTATCAAATGCTGATTGAGTTTGATAACAAAATATGCCTTGACTTCCCAAATGCTCAGGTTGCTCCTCATCCTAGGAAATGAATTTTCTTTTGCTATTGAAGGCTGGCAGTTCACACCTACCACCAGCACCTCAGAAGGAAGATTGGGCAATCTACTTCAGTAGTGATACCATCTCAGAAACCCAAGGAGGGGTTTCTATGAGTCAGATCTGACTCCATGGCCATGAGGTTTTTTTTTGTTGTTGTTGTTTTTAATTTATAATATCTGAAAGTAGAATAAACCTCATGGATCCTTTATTATTAGAAAGTAAATTTTATAGTGATATGATATTTTAACAAAGAGGTGCCCTGATTATCAGCCAAATAATTTTTGTTATTTTTATTTTAAAAATTAAATAAATAAACCTCTAAAATTCTATCAAAATAACATGTAATTCTTTATTTTTCTAAAGGTACTCTACAAATAGTAAAAAGCTATTTTTGTTGTCAATAATAATGAATAACACTTTCATCAACATTTCATTCCATAAATGGGAGTGTTCTATAAGGCAAGCTTTAGAAGCTCGTTATAAAAACTTCCACATAGATTGCAAAAACATTGATACCATAATCAGGTTGGATCACGTAGTTTTGTGGACAGATCCAATTTCCATTCCAAATGGCATAAAACAAGGTCAAATGACCTGGCCTGAAGCTATCCTGAGTGGGAGGCTTCGCCTTAACTATTTATCCTCATTAACTTCACAATTCTAATTCCTGCAAATATCTTCTCTATTAGCTTATTTTTATATAAATTGATATAAGTATTAGATGAATTGGGTCCATGCCCATCTGCCACAACAAATATGACAAATATTCTCCTCTTTCCTGATGGCACACATTTATATTTTATTCTGTGTTGTCTTTTTTCCCTCAAAAACTAAGATTAGACTTAAGAATCAGCTGAATTGTTTCTTTATTGCATTTATGGATTGAATTGTGTGTCCTCCAAAATATGTGTCAACTTGCCTAGACCATGATTCTCAGTATTATATAATTATACTCTATTTTGTGATCTGAAGTAATTATCCCATGTGTTGAAAACCCTAACCTCTACATTGTTAATGAGGCAGGATTGTATCTTAAGTCAATCTCTTTTGAGATATAAAAAAGATGAAAACAAGCAAGGAGAGATCAGAGGACCTGACTGCACCAAGGTAGAAGATCCAAGAGCAGAGCACGTTCTTCGGACCCAGGGGTCAGGGGTCAGTGCACTGAGAACCTCCTAGACCCAGGGGAATGCTGATACCAAGACACATGTAGATTCAAAGGAACACTGTTTCCAAAGAGACAAGGACCTTCCTCTGGAGCCAACAGAGAGAGAAAGCCTTCCCCTAGAGCTGATGCTCTAAATTTGGACTTCTACCACCCTAAACTTGGAGAGAATAAATGGCTGTTTGTTAAAGCCATAGATTTGTCGTATTTTTGTTCTTGTAGTTAGCCCTTATTTTAACATCAGGCATCCTTTCTTGTGATTCTGAATCCCCACTAATATGAAGTCTTCTTGAGAGCAGTCATTATCACCAGTGCCTTATATAGTACCCGGCACATGAAAATAGCTCAATAAATTTTTATTCATAAAATATGGAAATAAAATTAAAATCATTGTATTAGTAAGGCATTCTTTGGTATCTAAGTGGTTGTTGTTAGTTGCCATCCAGTCAATTCCCGCTCAGAACAACCCCACATGTGCAAAGTAGAACTGCTCCACAGGGTTTTCAAGGCTGTGATCTTTTGGAAGCAGGCAGCCAGGTCTGTCTTCTGTAATCACCTCCATGATGGAATCAAGGTGAGTTCAAACTCCCAAACTTTCAGCTAATAACCAACTGCTTAACCATTTCACAACATACTAAATAACCCCATCTTACTTCCTCTAGAATGTCCCCAGGAAAGTAAGAAATGCACAGTACGTGGCACAAACATTTTACACTGGACTAATAACAGAAAGGTTGGAAGTGCAAAGCCACTCAGTAGTTCCATAGAAGAAAGATCTAGCAATCTTCTTCTGCAAATATTACAGCTAAGAAAACCCAATGGAGCAGTCCTACTCTGAAATACGAAATATGGGGGTGGTCATGAGTTGGGATTGGTCAATGACAATGAATTTTGCTGTTCTTTTTTCAATATAAGCTACCATTATTAATATTAACTGGGATCCAGCTGAGAATAGGATGAGACAAGTGAGGCACATAAGGCACAAAATTTAAGGAGGCACTCAATCTCAGGGTTATGCAGGTGCAGGATTAACACCTGAGAGTCAGTGCCTCCTTCAGTGTTGCACCCTAGGTGACTCACTACATCATCCTAGTTCTGGCCATGTGATGCCTGATAGGCCTAACGTGGTTGGGGTGCCAGAAGAGTACCAGGATTGCCTTTGCTCAGAAAAAAAAAAATGAATGAAAATGAGATTCTACCTCACTTCCTCATAACTCTCCAACTTAATCAGTTCTCAATGAATATTCATGAATCATAGCACACATGATATATGAAAACCAAATTGAATCACTACTAACATGCTTTTCCACATGTGACATTCTCACTCTGGGTCAGATGAATCCACCTAGACTGGACTCCTCTATGGAGACTATTGTGCACCAGTTCTAAATGCTCTTAAATCTCCCATTTTCTGCTGGAGGCTGTGTTTACCTGCTCAAGGTAGCTAATGAGGGCGTTTTTGTTATCTTCCCAGAAGCTCTTCAGAGTCTCTTCAGGTGGGAACTTTTCACAGCTAAGTTCCACGGTGATCTCAAAACAGTTGCTGCTGAGGTAATTGAAGTCTTGCATTCCTGCCAAAGGACCAAGTGAAAAGTCAAGATGTGCTGGTAGTGACTAAAACACTGTATGAGCCTTTCTACTGAATACCAAGTGAAAGACTGAAAACCAACCATGTGTATTTTGGGGAGACTGGGAGGAAACCACAGAAGTTTCTGGGTGATAGAAATGGTTAACCTGCTCAGCCACTAACCAAAAGTTTGAGTGTTTGAATCCACTCAGAGGCAGAAGAAAGGCCTGGTGATCTACTTCTGAAAAATCACCCACTGAAAACCCTATGGATCACAGTTCTACTGACACACATGGGCTCACAATCAGCTCAAGAGAAACTGGCATTGGTTGGTGGGAAATTACATACCATACGATACCTAAACATCATACTCGACAGATTGTTATTACCATAAAAGTACAAACTCTCTCCAGTACCTGAGCTGTCATTTAACTTAATATGCTGCTACTGTAGGGTGCTAAAGCAGACATCAACCAAGATCCACATTGCTGAAATGGATTTCATGGAATACAATGAGGTACAGAACTAATACCTACTGATATAGTAAAGAAATGCACATTCCTTTAAGCCAATCTTGCTATCAGGGAAGAACTTGGAGAGTTATGTGAGATGACCTGACATACTGTTTTGTTTCTTGAGTTCCTTAAGTTCAACCAATATCACAATGAGGGGTTGGGAGTTTGTTAATATTTAAAAAAAAAAAAAAAAAAGCTGTCAAGTAGATGCTGACTCATAGCAATCTTATAGGACAGAATAGAACTGCCCCACAGGGTTTCCAAGGCTGTAATCTATACAAAAGCAGACTGCCACATCTTTCTCCTGCAGAGCTGTTTGTGGGTTTGAACTGCTGGCCTTTCAGTTAGCACTTAACCACATATTAATTCAACAAACCACTGAGTGTCTACTATGTGTAAGGCATAATGCTGGCAATACTTTAAATTGCACCAAAAAGAATATTCTGCATCCAGAACAATTTTTATTTAAATCTGATGCAAATTAGTAGTGGATGCTGTCGAGGATACCCTCACTACATTGTTTCCATGGAGCCTGGGCACACATTTGCCAATTGCCAAAAGTGTTGGCTGTCAAGAACTTACAGCTATCCTCTTTTTCAGGAGAACTGTTGATGGCTTGGGAGGTTGCCCTCCAACCTCTCTGAGGCAGCCCACAATTACTGACTGACTACCAAAGGCTGGTCCCCTTATTTCAAGGGGGGATAGCCCTGCCTGTGATTTACACCCTAGCCACACACTGGCGAAGATTAAGGCTAGATTTTAAATGAGATCACATCCTTACTCCTCTCTATGCTCTAATTTACTGAGTTTCCCTCACTTCCTTAAAGGATTTTTCCTAAAGAGCACTATTTCACTAAATCCTTGTCTTATGCTCTGCTTCTCAGAAATCCGACTTGAGACAATCATTTTGTTCATTTTCTAAATAACTGAAGACAGAGCTTTCTTTATTTGATTATTGTGGGACATAATTATTGACTAAGATGAATACTATCATTTTACTAATAAAAATTTCCTGATATTATAGAGACAATGCACTCTTTTTGCAAGAAAAAGGTTAGTCGAAAAGAATTATTAAAGTTTGTATATAAAGCATAAAATTTCATCCCATGTGATTTATTTGGCATAGTCTAAATCCTAAGTCTGACACCTAGACTTTATTTCTCAAGCCCTGGTGATAGTGCCTAAAGCATTTGACTGCTAACTAGAAAGCTGATGGTTCAAACTCAGCAGCCACTCCTTGGAAGGAAGGTTGGGCAATCTACTTCCATAGAGATACCGCCTCAGAAACTCAAGGAGGGGTTGCTGTGAGTCAGATCCGACTCAATGGCAGTGAGTTTGGTTTGATTTGATAGGGGGAGGAAAAAAGGGACTAAATTTCATCTAGCCAAATGAAAAAATCAAAATTAAAAGATAAGTAAACATATATCAGGGAGGAAAGAAATAAGAAAGACTATTTTTCTCAGAGCATAATTCAGCATATTAAACAAGCCAAAACCCTATAATTAACTAGTACGGCTAATTATTCTGATTATTCTGATTCTCTTTAATTTTCAGGTGGGCTATTTAAAAATTATTTTAAAGCAAAGAAAATAAAACAAAACATTTCACTATGCCTAAATTTCACTATTCATCCCTGGCATAGGATAGTATTATCCCACCACTATTAATGGCCTAGGTAGTGATAAAAATAAGAGCTTCATGAAGTCCATGTTGGGGCAGAGGGAGCCAAGAGAGCTTCATTGGGTGCCTAGGACAGTCCTCCCTCCAGTTGCCATCAGGCTTAGGCTTTTCTCCCTTTTCAGACTCCATAAATAGTGGAGCTGCCCAATCTAATAGTATTTATTACATTGTTGTTGTTGTTATTTGCCGTTGAGTGGGACCCAACTCATAGTGACCCCTCCTTGGGTTTTTGAGGCATTATCACTATGGAAGTAGATTGCCCAACCTTCTTTCCAAGGAGTTGCTGGTAGGTTTGAACCGCCAGCCTCCTGGTTGGCAGTGAAGTGCCTTAGCACTACGCTACCTGAGTTCCTATTTGTTTTAGCCTTTAGCATATTTTAGTTGACATACCTTTTTTTTTAACATAATGGGATAATAAAGACTGTTTGAAGTAGCATCTTTAGTATACAGTCACCACTGTAATAGATGACTATATACTAAAGATGCTACTTCAAACAGTCCTTATTATTCCATTCTGTTAAAAAAAAAAAAGTATGTCAACTAAAATATGCTAAAGGCTAACGCATGCCCTTTAAAATATTCATTATCCTATAGTAAAGCACAGCTAATATATAATAAAGAGGCTTACTTTTATTCCCTAAGGCCAGAATTTGAAACTTAGGGCAGTGACTATTATTCAATTTATATTTCCCAATGGGTATCTTCAGTTTTTTTCCTTTATCTCGTTAGTTAGTATCAGGGCTTTGAACTGGTTCATTTTGATTCTACCTCCTGCTGAGAATTTGCATTTCCACCACGGATATACTGAATCAGAATCTACATTTTAACGAGATCTCCAGGTGATTCCTATATATGAAAGAATCATATATATATATATATATATATATATATGCGTTGGTTACCAGAGGATAGGGCGGGGAGGAGGTTAAATTCCTAGGTAAGTTGGGGGAAAAAATATATTATATATATTTATACATATATAAACCAAAGATTATTAGTGGTTATAGTGGTTACCAGGGGTAGGAGGTAGCGGGGAAAGGGGAAGCTGATGTTTGCAGGGCATTGAGTTTAAGATAATGGTGGGAGAATATTTTAGAAAAGGATAGTAATAACAGTAGCACAACATGAAAAATGTCATCAGTGTCCCTGAGCTGTAAATGAAGAAGTTGTTATGTTGGCAAATGTCTTGTTGTGTATGTTTTCACCACATTAGAAGTTTAAAAAAAAAAAAAAAAAAGAATCTTATATATACGCAAGAACTTTATGTATACGTAAGAGTCACCTAATGATCTTGCTACAATGTAGACTATGGTTCAGTATATCTGGGGTGGAAATGCAAATTCTCAGCATGGGAAGATTAAATCAGTTTGATGCCCTGGTTAGCATTAATTTTAAAACCAACAATAAAAATAAAACAATGTATAGTAATCATTCATATAGAAGATTAACTTTAATAGGTTCAGTCAATTTATTGATGATTTAGAAGATTAAAAATTCTGTAAATGTAAGTCACTCTCTAGATCTGAACGATCATTTTAAACCACTATTACTTTATCAGAGAGAAAGGGAAACTCACCACCAGGTACACTATACCAAGCACCACCATTGGTTGTTCCATCGACAAAGCTGCTGTCATCATCATTCTTGCGGCACGGAGGCCGATTGGGGTCAGACATTGCTGGGTTAAAAGAAGAGTATGCTCGAGCCAAGCTTTGGAAAATAACATCATCTGGGCAGGAACTGTATTCATGAGCACTACCTAGAAAATAAATCCACCAAGATCAAAGGAATTCACTCAGACCAAGCAGCATGGCATGTTTTCTGAATCATGATTCAGTTTTGAATTCTTGCTTACATATGTTTTAGATGTGTGAGTATGGGACAGAGATGAACGTTTAAGTTCATCAACTTAAGTTCAACAACGTCACTTAGTTTTTATTTGAAATAACTGCTATTCCTAATGGAAGTGGAAATTAGGTGGAACACGCATTCCACCTAAGCATTTAAAGATTCACAAGAAGAGTTGATAAGCTGTGGTATGGTACACCAGACTTCGAGAGACAGCAAGGAGGTATCCATTGTTAAACTTACAAATTAAGAAAATTCACTTAAACCACCCTTTGGGATGATCATGGCCACTATGAACTGCTCTCAAGTTGTCAGTATGTGATTCTAGAATTCTTTAAAAAGCCTCTGTATGTGTTATGGAAATAAATCATACACATTTGAAACATTTTTATCCATTTTATTCCTATCTATTTTATATTATAAAATATGCCAGGACTACAAGTTTCCCAGCTACAGATTAAAATTCGTAAATTAAAGAAGAAAAGAAAAAGATCTCTAAATTATTTAACAATTACTTCACCAAAGACTTTCTTCAAAACTCAAAGTTTTCAATAATATCTAAAATTATCATCTGGTGTTTACACAGAGCTGACTCTTCAAAGAGATCTGAGAATGGATCCAAAGCAGGAAATTTCTTGGAGCAACAAAAATTAAGTTGGAAAGACCCATCTGGCTAAAACTTGCTTTGCCTGATGTTAACTAAAATTAGTTAGAGAAAGCCAAGCACTACTTCCCCTCCACAGTGCTTCCAGAAACAGTTCCATCTGCAGAAGTGGGAGATGATGACACACATGTAGAAATCCAACAGGCTGCCTTCATTTTCAGCCATCTTGTAAACCACCCATAACTTCCGTATTCTGTCCAATTATCAGAGTCTAGAAATGACTCACGTGCATCGCCTCTTTTTGTTCTTTCTCTTGTCTCACTATTCTGTCAAGATCATGCTTCTCTTCAACTAAACATTTGAAAAATGTTACAGCTCTTTACTGCCAAATAGATATTTCTAACACCATATGAGAGAATTAGGAGAAATTTCTGTTAAATATGCACTTTCTACAGGCAATATCACCTAGTGATGAGATTCCTTTCAAGAAGAAGACAGAAATCATTCTGTAAGCCCATGTATAACAACCGTAAACTAGAGCCAATTACACGAGCATGAAGAACACCTACCACTCCGTGTCTCATCGTATGGATAGTTGGCCACAACGTCTCCTCCATGCAGATTGGCAGACAGCACAAAAGGAATATCCATAATCCAGTGGATGACAGCCTTGGTTTCAGGAGCCAACTGCATTAAAGATGAGAGAGTGAAAAGAAGCATATGCTTTATAATCACTTAACAGACTGAAAGACATAGGAAAAGTGAAAAAAATAAAATAAAAAGTCAAAGCTGGTTAGTTTTCAAACACTTTGTGGCTGTCTTTATACAAAAGAAAAAAATTCCTATAAGTCTGAATTCCTCATACCTATCTTTCTCATACTTAATAATCAAAAATATTTCAAGTCTTTAAATTCTCTTAAAAGTTATACTTTTGTGAGTTGCTAGTTTTTCTCTCTTTGTGACTTGGAAACCAGCATGTGAAGACATCTCCAATCTCACACATCTTTGTTGATAATGGGTAAAGATAAGAGAGCAGAGAAAGAAAATAACTGACCCACAGAACAGGATTTTTCCTATATAGTGGTTCAACACTGTTCTAGAAATATGTAGCAGACTTTTTTCCTTTAGTTTTGCTCACTATTTCTCTAATTTTCTTCAACAACTTCAAGTATTGTCCTTATAAATGAGTATTAGATCAGGTTTCTTTCAGAGCTGTCTATGAAATATCAGTTTACTTTGGGATGATCATCTTAAATTTTGAACAAAGCAAAACATTCAGGAATTCATGTTAAGTCTTTTGAATGATCCATAGACACTCGTATTTTGGAAGCAAAACAAAAGAGAAAAAAAAATTATACCAAAGAATTAATCTGCAGCCAAAAGCTTGATATTTCTATATGATAAGTTTTTAATAGCAACTGGTAAGACTCCCAAACTCCCAAGTACCTCTTTGATTAAAAAAAAGCTTTTGCTTTTTTTGATTAAAAAAAAAGCTTTACTCTTCTTTGAGACAGAAAATCCAGCTACATCAGTGGTGGGTTGAGGGTTATAATAAGATATCATATTTGTATATCTCTGTTCAGTTTATGAATAGCTCTCACATGCACTATTTTATTGAGCTTCACATCCCCATTTGATATGCAGAGATAATTATCCTCCTTTCAAAGGGAGAAATTTCCCAGTCAAGTGAGCATGTCCAAGTTCACATAGGATTTAAATATAGTCTATGAAACTACAAATCTCATGCTACTTTTAGTACATCAGCTTTTCTCTATTAATACTATCTTATTTTTTAATTCATGCTACTCGAAATTATATAAAAGTGGGATTTAGAATAAAGCATTTTTTTATTATGTGTTTGATTGGTTTATTTTATTCTTGCTATTCCCCTCCAAAAAAATCATAGAAAATGTAGAGGAGACAAGCAAGCACAAAGAAAAAAATTACAATTATTCATAATTTTGCCAACTAAAAATATCTACTGCTAAAATTTTCATAACGTTCTTTCCTAGCCTTTTCCTAATGCGTGTATATAATATTTAAAATGTGACCATTTATATACTATGCTGAATGCTGCTTCTTTGAAATGGACAACAGATAAACCCTTTTTAATGTTATTCATTATCCTTCTAAAAGATAATTTTCATGCTTGAGTAGTATCTAATATATTGATAAACCCTCTTTAAACATTATTAAGTAGGTAATACTTAATGAACATTTTCTGTGTGACACATTTAATTCTCACATCCACCCCTTGAGATAGGGAGTACATTTCCCTCCATTTTATAGACAAGTAAACTGAGACACAAAGAAGTCGAGGCACAGCAGAAGGTCACTCAGCTGAGAGTGGCAGACCCTGGATTCAAGCTCAACTAGTCTAACTCAAAGCCACAATATCAACACTAGCCAATTTACAATCATTGGGTATTGGGGCTGTTTATTATTTAAAAATGAAAGAAAAAAAAACTATAAGCACCTTATAGCTTCTCTCTGTTCATTATAGCCTTGGAAACTCTACGAGACTGTTCCACTCTGTCCCATGGGGTTGTAATGAGTAGGAATGAACTCAAAGGCAACAGGTTTTTTAATGGGTCCTAAATTCACAAAGTTGTATGAATCTATGTATTGTTGTTGTTATGGCAACCTCATATACAACAGACAAAAATGCTGTCCATCTCTGTACCTTCTCCAGAATTGTTGATTTGCTTAAGTGTATAGCCATTGTATATTTTAAGTGCCTTCCAACCTAGGGGGCTCATCTTCCAACACTATATTGTGATAATATACTCTTGTGATCCATAGGGTTTTCTTTAATTTCTGGAAGTAGACCACCAGCTCTGTCTTCCTAGTCTATCTTAATCTGGAAGCCTCACTGAAATCTGTCCCTATGGGTGACCTTGTTGGTAATTGAAATACCAATGGAATAGTGCAAACAGTTAAGCATTTGACTGCAAATTAAAAGGCTGGCGGTTGAAACACACACAGAGGTACCTTGGAAGTCGGGCCTGGCAATCTGCTTTTGAAATGTCACAGTCTTAAAAACCCTAGGGAGCAGTTCTACTCTGCACACGTGGGGTCGCCATGTGTTGGGACTGACTCGACAGCAACTAGCAACAGCAACAAGCTTCCAGCATCACAGCAACATGCCAGCCACCACAGTATAACGGGTGGTGGTAAAGCTGTTAGGTTTAAGCTATTGTGAGTTCTCATATCATAGATACACCATTGTTACCGTCATGTTCAAATTCAAGCAAGTAAATTCCACAATTTGACAAATTAAACTCAGTTTCTCTTTGACTATTAACAGGATCTTTTAGGCTGACTAAATACTGAGACACCAGGGTACTGTAAATACATATTTAAATAATCCTTAGAGAATCCTCTGGAACGCCCTCATAATTTAGCCACTAATAGAATCTATAGCTAAATGTAATCTATCTTTAAACTTCCACTTAAAGACTATAAATAAATATAGCTTTGATTTTATGCTTTATGATAAGATAGTGGCTCTGGCTCTCAAAATATCTTAAAGTTATATTTATTTAGTGCTCTTCACAATTCTGCCCATTATATACAGGAACTTAACACTATTATTTTTACTTATTTTAATGTACTCTGCTTTTAAGCAATCCAGCCCAAGACTCCTGTACTAAGCCAGATGTGATGACAAATTTTATGTGTCAACTTGGCTAGGCTATGAATCTTAGTGGTTTGACCAAATACTGGACTGGTTGTTATTCCATTATAATATAACGTAACCACCATCCATAATGTGGTCTGATTTAATCAATCATTCAGCTGAAAAGGGAGTTTCCTTGGAGGTGTGGTCTGACTCCAGAATACAAAGGGATATCTAGCAGAGCTCATTCTCACCTGACCTCTGGATCTGGGGATGTAAACCTGCAGAAGTTTACAACCTGCCACCTGACATATTTTTGGATTAGCAATCCTGTGAGCCCAGACAGTCCTGTAACCCAAGACAAGTCTCCAGCCTCCTGCCTGACTTACAGATTTGGGACCTACTAGCCCCTACAATTGCATGACCCATTGCCTTAAAGTAAATCAATCTCTCTCTCTCTCCCTCTCCCCCACGTTACCTCTCTCTCAACAGTATGATACCAGATATATACTATACATATCTATTGAGCTTGTTTCCCCCCAGGAAACTTCCCTTTCAGCTGATTGGTTGATTAATCAGCTAGATATCTATCTACATAGATAGGTATCTAGAGACATAGACAGATAGATGTATATGATACCAGATAACAGTGGAGGCAACCAGGCTGAAGAACTCAAGAAGCAGATGGGAAATGACTTAGTAGGAAAAACTCTGGGAGAGGAATTTAAAAAAAAAAAAAACCTCACTGCTGGTCGAATCAATTCGTCTCTACAGAAGTAGATTGTCCAACCTTCTTTCTGAGGAGTGGCTGGTGGGTTTGAACTGCCAGCCTTCTGGTTAGCAGTCAAATGCCTAAGGCACTATGCTACCAGACCAATAGCTTTTATTCAGAGGTAAGAGATTCAGAAGAGCAAAGAGAGAATCAGTCATGAGCAGTTTCTCTTGAGAGGTAGACCATAGCATCTGAAGGCTTCACTAAAAATTCACATTCCATTTCACCATCCTCTCCGAAGTCATCCACACCCAGACCTCCTGAATCTACATGGGATCTCCATGGGAATCTGCATTTTTAACTCATGACTCCTAGCACTCAAAATCTAACAATAAACTCTGAAGTTTAAGGAGTACTATAAGAGATATAGATATTAGCCTGAGAAAAGGAAATGAGATAGAGGAGATGCTTATTATTAATACAATGATTACTGTACACCTCATACCAGGCTAGGTCTAAACACTGTCTCATTCTTAATGACTAAGATGGAACAAGAGAAATGACCTAGTCATGAGCAATATCATTCCATGATTATTAAGCTAATTTACTGACAATTTAGTATAAATCTTGCTTATATACCAGAAAAGGGACTAAAATTTTTATATATATACCAGGAAAAGTAGTTGCATTGAGATGATTTTTTTAACAGAAGTTTTTATTAAAAGGAGAGTGAACATTAATCTTTTAATAAATATTGCCAAAGCCAGAAATATGAAGACATCTTATATTGAGATTATGCAAAAAGTACACAAGTTGAACTGGAGAGGGTGAAAAGCAGTGCTGGTCGGAAACAACAGCATTTCCACAAATCAAACATCCTGTCAACATGAATTTATTTCACAATTCTTCTATGGCAGGTAACAGGAATTGTTTTCCTCATTTCACAGACTGAACAAAGACAGTGTAGGTAGACTATTCCAAGCAATGGGGAAAGTTTGTGGGCTAATATTGGGATTATTAACTTCTAGAACAACTTCTCATTTCTCCCTTAGCCTCATAGCTTATTCCACAGAACGGTCCTGTCTTTGAGTCTGGTTACCCCACACTTTCCCTGACCCCGCTACCTTTCCAGTTCTCCCACAAAAGATGGTTTCCAGGTTCAGAAACTCCAAGTGTATCTGTGACTCAGAAATGAAGGGTTTTAGTCACTTGTTTATCAGATTCTGCAAGAATCCTCAGCTCTTGGCAGCCCTTTTCTCAGACAATCCTCTACTTATAGGCTCAGCCCGGGTTTCTAGAATGAATCCTATATATGCAAGCAAGAGGGTTTTTAAGGCTTTATACCAACAATCTGGGATTCTCTGTCTCCTGGACCCTGTATGCCATGTTCCAACCCACATGATAAATGTTTGTCTGGAACTCCAGTGGTTGATTTTCAATGGGTACGTTGTTCGGATACTGCAATCTGCTTGCCCTACTGGATTGCATCCATTCATAATAGGTCTTCAATCTACTACGTGCCAGACTCAAATATGAATTATAACTGCTGCAATCAAGGAATCAAAATGTAGACTCAAAAGGAAAAGCAGCTATGTAAGTAAATAATTAAACAATATAATAATTAAATACAAGGCTATATGGGAGCTCTGGTGGCACAGTGCCTAAGGCATTTGACTGCTAACCAGAAGGCTGGTGGTTCAAACCCACCAGCCGCTCCATGGAAGGAAGGTTGGGCAATCTACTGCTGTAATGATACTGCCTCAGAAACCCAAGGAGAGGTCGCTATGAGTCGGATCCAACTCGACAGTGGTGTGTTTGGTTTGGGTTTTTATAAGGGTATATGTAACATTAGGCACCATCCTGGAAGTGTATTTAAAGCATACGAAGGAAGGCTTAACCTCTGTAAGAGCAGAAGAAGGTTTCACAGAAGTGGTGACATTGGAACTGAGCAGCATAAGAAAGCATCCTTCCACAAACTGAAGGAAAAGGAAGAACATTCTAGGCAGTTGGAACATACACAAAGACAAAAATTATCTTTAAATGGTGTGCTGGGGGACAAAAATGGTATGTTGGTGTGACTGGAGTATAGGGGTAATGGAGCCAGATGAAGGAGTGGGCCAGCCAGCATCTGTCATGTATCAAGGGACACCTAGATGACCCTAGAACAACAACAAACTGGAGAAATTTTAATTTCCAACCTCTTAGGAAAGGTACTAGAGTAGTTTATAAACCAGAGCTGAATTGCCTAGGACAACAGGGAAGGGACTGAGAGCTGCCAAAAGCAGTTCTTCTCCACCCTTCCTCTATGATAGGTTCAACCTCTATCTCTTCCAAGTAAACAGTGAAAACAGTACTCAAACAAAATTGGTTTAATTTAAGGGGCATCAGATATTTATTGGGTACATAAATATGTCCTTCCAGCCCTGAGGTGTACTGAGAAATTATGGTGATGTGGTAATGGCAGTTCTAGATCTTTTCCTCAATTGCTTTAATTTGTATTAACTCATTCAATCCTTACAACTACCCTGTGAGGTAGGCACTATTATCATCTCAATATTTTCAAGATAAAGAAGCTGAAGCACAGAGAAGTTAAATAACTTTCTAAAGTTCACACAGCAAGTATGGAGTCAGGATATGATCCAAGGTGGCGGGCTCTAGAGTCTCCATTCTTAGCCATCATACTGCACAGTTCTGTCATACTGAAATTTTTTACTGTATCCTCTAGTTAGAGGAGAGTAAGCAAGGTTTTAAAGCAGTGGAGGAATTCTGGAAGATTGAACAGAGTTAGCAGAAACTGGACACAAAACAAGAGGCCACTGCACTAGTCAGAACAAGAAACAATGGGGCCTGAACTAACACAGTAGAATGAGTTTATAGAAGAGGGGAACAGAAGAGGATTCAGAGAGATAAAGGCACTGAAATTTGGTCACTAAATGCAGATAATTCATGACAGAGTTGAAAAATAAGGTGGATTCTGATATTTCTAGCTTCGATGACCAATGAGAAAATAATGATTTCTGATGCTTGTTTTCAGACATACTGAGCTTAAGTCTATAGGTGCCACCAAATAAAAGGACCCAGCAAGCAAGTAAATTAAAGAACTTAAGATCCAAGGAAGGTCTGGAATTAGAGAATATGGAAGACTAAAATAAATGTCATGGAAGTTATAGGAAAAGATGGAAACCTAGGGAGAGAGTGAAAGGTCTCAGATGGGCCCATGAGGAAGGCCAGCATTTAAGCCAAGATGCAAGAAGCAGAAAAAGAAACTGAGTAGTAATTAGACAATAGAAAAACTAGGAGAAAGTTGTGTTGTACAAAGCAAGGGAGAAGAAAGCTCAGGAAAAGAAGAAAAAAATCAAGAGTTGAAATGCTGTCAAAAGAGCTTATCAGCTAAGAGTTGATAAAAAAGCCTCTGAGTGCATGGTGACTTTCTAAGACACCCACCACTAGGTTCCTCCCTTTGTAACCCCATCACTGATTCTACTTCCCAAACTCCCCTGCTCAATTTTAGGGAGTAGTACTTATTTCAGGGCTCCAACCCTTCCAGCCTTGACTTTCATAGACCTAGTTAACTATCTCACTCAAGCTTTGATATTACTCCTATGTCATTCATTATGATAAAGATATTAGAACATATTTCCTTCAGTTAGAATACAAAATCCAAGAAAACTATACATATTCTTCTACCTTTGTGTTTTGATCCACAATTTTCTTCAGGTTTTTCAGCAGATGATTATTCGGACCACCTTCTTTCTCATTAACATAAACTATTCTATCCAGGTCAGGAAAGTTCCGGTTCAGATCTATTCCTTGGGCATTGCTCCGACCCACAAACCAGTCCTTGAGCTCACCAGGCTAAAAAGTCAAAGAGAAAAGTCATCAGTTATTTACTATTATTGTCACTAATTATTCAAGGTCTCCATTAATGATTTTGAAAATGATTTATTAAGATTATTTATTTCAATAATAGCCTGTAAGAATGAATGCCATTTTCTCTATTTTACTAATATAAACATGAAAGTATCAGACTTAAGGTGTTGTTATAAAATTTGAGAACTTTTAATGAATAATATTTTTAATAATATTTTAAAGACATTTATCATCAGATTGCAAAATAAAAGTCAATACATATCAACTGATAATAGATGACCTATTTCAAAGCATGTTAGTCTATAATTACCCTCCCACTGCCATCAAGTGGATTTTGACTCATAGAAACCCCCATAGGGTTTCCAATGCTATAAATCTTTATAGAAGTAGAATGCCTTATCTTCCTCCTACGGAGCAGCTGGTGGTTTTGAACTGCTGACCTTCTGCTTAGCATCCCAATACTTTACCCACTATACCACCAGACCTCTTTATCTTATAATTAGGTTTAAGTGAAACATTAATTGTGTCTATAAATCATAGTAATATATTTTAAAGAAATGTTGAAAAGAATAAATTACTAAATAAATTTAGAAGCTAAAATTAAGCTTGCCATGGGTAAACATATTAATAACATACTTCCCTCTATATTATAGTCTTCATGAAAAAATATGAGCTCTAGATCAAAAATTCTAGAGCTTTAGGATTTGAGGAATTTCTGTTCCACTTAAACTCTTCATTTTACTAATGGTCCAATTAAGAAAATGAATGAATTTCCAAGATATTTAAGTATGGGTTTCATGTGGATTTCCTCAGGGAATTAAACTACACCAAATTTATGATATTATTCCCATATTCTGAGCTCATATAAACTCAGATATCAGTCTGTGAAGATCAAAAAATCTATAAAACAGAAAATAGTAATGTTAACCTATCTTCTAGCCCATAAAAGAGTAAATAATTTAATTCTATATGTAAGTAGAATTTCTCTCTCACAACTTTAGAACTTGCATCTACATATACCTATGGACAGAAATACACTTTCTGGGTTCCTTATGATGTCTAATTATAGGATTATTGGATATTTTATTTTTAAGGTACAAATCAACTTCTTAACCATAGATTAAAATATTATTTAATATTTGTCATAAAATAAAATTATTTCACACTGTAGAGATCAGCACTCCAGTCTGCTCAAAAATGGAAGGGAACACATACCACATACCTTCTCTTAAAAATCATTACCTTCCAGATTCTACATTTTAAGAAATATTTGACTAATTTCAGTTTAGAGATAAATCTTTTTTCTATTACTTCTGATGCAAGTATCCCCCACTTTTTGAAAGCTTGCTTTACACCACTTCATTTTTATGAAAGACCTGCCTTATTACTGGCTTTCATAACAGAAATATGAAGAGGATTTTCCTTTTACAAAAAAAGGGCAAAATGTGAAACTATCGTTCAGTGTTTGTTGTGCAAAGGAAGTGTGCACCCGAGCAGCCAAGAGTGGTGTCGCCAAGTTCCTTCCCTGGGAACTACCCTGTACATACACTACACATACATTATTTGTACTTTATATAGGTTGTATATTTATCACATCATTCCTGTGTTTACTATATATTAGTGTTATTTTAGGTTTTATGTGTTATTTTAGATGTATAGGCTATTTTGGGCGGTCTTGGAACACTCAAAAAAAAATCCCCATATAAATTAATGGTAATTGTTTCTTCGCTTTACACCTTTTTGGCTTCTAAAGGTTTCATAAGGCGCTCTGGTAGCGTTGTGCCTAAGGCACTTAACTGCTAACCAGAAGGCTGGCTATTCAAACCCACCAGCCACTCCTCCGAAGAAAGGTTGGGCAATCTACTTCCGTAGTGATACCGCCTTGGAAACTCAAGGAGGGGTTGCAATGAGTCGGGTCTGACTCGAGGACACATAACAACAACAAAAGATTTCATAAGAACAACCTACTTTCGGATAGCAGAGGAAACCTATACACAGAACCAAGGGTAAACATCAGTATAGCATCGGGCCAAAAGTCTTTCTTCTTTAAATTCAGTAGAGGGCGCCAACACATTCAGAACCGCATGGGCATTACCCTTAAATACTTGTTGTTGTTGTTGTTATGTGCCGTCGAGTCAGCCCCGACTCATAGCGACCCCTCCTTGGGTTTCCGAGGCAGTATCACTACGGAAGTAGAATTGCCCAACCTTCCTTCCGAGGAGTGGCTGATGGGTTTGAACCGCCAGCCATCTGGTTAGCAGGCAAGTGTCTTAGCCACTATGCTACCAGAGTATTTTTCCACGTATGTTGATTTTTAGAAAGAAATTTACCTAGTCATAAACATGGGTGAACAAACATTATTTATTTAACAATGCGAACAACACATTAATAAAATATTGGCTTATTAACAAAATTTTTCATCCACCATCTAAACCATCATGCCTTCCAGTCTGACCGTTTCTCTTACCAACAAACTAAATAATGTATCACATATACCCTTCAGTGCTTTTAGGCTTTGATGACAGTTCACTGTCTGCAAACTTTGTGTGAAAGTATTATTTGAAGATAAGCAGTATGAACAAACATCCGAAAAAAACGAAGCAAGCACACCCTGATCTTCTGCCTTGCACTGACCTGAGATGCCGCCTTCTCGAAACCATCAGGGTTCAGGGACGGCATGATGTGGATTCGCGTGCTGTGGATCAGGTTCACAATGGTCTCATTCCCTTTTTGGTATTCGTTGCACAGGTATTGGGCTAAGAAAATGAGCAATTCCCGTCCAACTGCCTCGTTACCATGCATATTCCCAATGTATTTAAATTCAGGCTCACCTAAAAGACCAAAAATAGATAGTATGGAGATATTTTCTATAACACCAAAGAGAAGGCAAATGAATGGCATACAGTTCTGAATATATAATATACAGTCAGCCCTCTGTATCTCCAAGTTCCGCATCAGTGGATTCAACCAACAGCCAATTGAAAATATCAAGACAAAAATCAAAAGAAAAAAAAAAAAATTAAGTGATCAAAGCAATCCCTGAAAGGCTAGGAGGGAACAGGAATGTAAAGTGCAATTTACATAGCATTTACATTGTGTTAGGCATTATAAATAATCTAGAGATGATTTAAAATACACAGGAAGATGTGCTTAGGTTATATACAACTTGCCATTTTAAATAAGGACTTGAGCATCCCTGGATTGGGTATCCTCAAGGGTCCTGGAACAAATCCCCAACGATACAACTCCACCTACTATCATTTATTACAGAGTTAACACACTCGTCTGCTAAGTGAAAGGTTGGAGCTTCCAGTCCATGCAAAAGCACTGGAGAAGAAAGATCTGGCAATCTATTTCTGAAAAATCAGCCACTGAAAACTCCATGGAGCATAGTTTTACTCTGACACACATTGGGTCACCCTGAGTCAAAAACCACTTCACAGCAACATGTTTTCTTTTGTTTTTCACATTTATTAGGTAGCTGACAATTTCTTTTCCCTCCAGAAGGAATGCCTAAAAACTGTGGCTTACATGTTAAAACACTCCTTCTGTTCTATTCCTCCCTTCCCAGCTACCCAAGCCACATCAGTAACTAATAATAATAAAATATTGTGTGCATTCTAGTTGCCAAGCACTGTACTTTACATAAGGAACAGGTATCTATCCTGACAACAGCCATACAGTCCTCGAAGCCAGGATTGAAATGCAGGTCTTCTGGATTTGTCAAAAAAAAAAAAAAAAAA